GATTCCAGCGTGCGCATGTTTTTTTTTTTTTTTTTTGCGTACGAGAGTTAGAATCCCCGGCAAAATCTTCTGGCTGAACTGAAGGAAGGTATTTTTTATTACTACATTTACTTTGGTCCCATTTACGAAGAAAAGCATGGCAACTGCGGCATTTTCCTCATAGGTAACTGTAGCCCCGCCACGGTGGTCTAGTGGCTAAGGTACTCGGCTGCTGACCCGCAGGTCGCGGGTTCAAGTCCCGGCTGCGGCGGCTGCATTTCCGATGGAGGCGGAAATGTCGTAGGCCCGTGTGCTCAGATTTGGGTGCACGTTAAAGAACCCCTGGTGTTGTGCCACAGACATGTTCCTCGTTCGGGAGCACGTCTCACGAGATCGAGCCCTGTTCCGACGAACTGTCTCCCCACCTCCCAGCGCTGCCTTCCGTGCAGAAGAACCGTGCAGTTCCGGGGATAACGTCGCTTCCTCCGCCGAACCACCTTGCAGTTCCGGGTATGGCTGCGTCTCCTCAACCGAGCCACTGTGCCGTTCCGGGGAACTGGTCTCGCAGAAGAGTCCCAAAACGCTATTTAAGGCTGTGCCGGCCCCATGTTAGGAGATTTTGCCCCAGCCGACGTTGTCGTGCTGGCCGGCTCGGTACAAACGACAACCTGCTACAGCAAACGCTAATTTTGTTGCTGTTTTCAAAACGGATTGCCTCCCTGTTTCGCCTTCGGGCTAAGGCTTCAGCGAAGTCCGCGTGACGGCTCACCGCTCTTCGCCACCGCTGCCATCGCGACACAGCAAATTCCTAACAGTGGTCAAAATTTCCGGAGCCCTCCACTACGGCGTCTCTCATTATCATATGGTGGTTTTGGGACGTTAAACCCCACAAATCAATCAATCAATCATAGGTAACTGTAAGGAGGTATCAATTCGTCTGTGGCAGTATTACTTTTTTTTTCGTTACTATCCATTTTGACTTGATGCTAAACACCCCGATTTGATAAATATAGAGACATTCTAGCGTTCCTCCTTTCTGGAGACTTGTATAGGGGAAAACTGGGCTAATTATCGTCGATAACTCGTATTGCTCTGCTATCCTGTCTCACAATTTTGCTATTATATCACGCACGGATATTTATGAGGTGGTGAAACGAAGCGCAGTTAAGGTCTAGGTAACTGAGTGTCCCGTTGATGTCATTGAAGTATGGAACGTGAGAGTAACTTTGCCGGAATATTGTAGAAGGCTTCGATTACCCGACCTTCATTCGCTCCCCACGTTTTGACAGTGAAAGTACCTGAGTTGTGATCGTCTCTTGTTTCGTCATCTGAAGTTTGATGATGTTTTGGTAGCACAATAGCAATATAAGTACTCCCGACTGCATCCAAATTAAAGTGTCGAACATGTAGCATAACGACGTTTTTCTAATAAAAACTAACTGTTTGCCGAAGTAGACAACAAGCAAAGCATTTTGATGTTCGTTCTTAGATTGCCCAACGTATCCATTGAACACCGTAAAATTCACAGGGCGAATGGGTGACCATAAGTGACTGAAACGTGCCTGCGACCAGCCCGTGGTCGTCACAGAACTAGTGACGTCAAGTCTAGACATAGTCTAGACGCATGGCGACCACCTGCACCCTCCTCCGTGTATCCTGCTTCTGCAGCTCGGCGGGAGGGTTCTTTAAACGGCGTTATAATGAAAAGCAGCGCTGGTTCCATGAATGGGAAAAAAAAGCAACCCTTTTAATAGAGTGTAACCCGTGAGAATAGAGCATGGCACTCTTCTGACTTCACTTGTTGATTGCGCTGTCATTTTTTTTTCTTTGCCAGTGCCCTCCCTACTATACAGCCTGCAAACTTCGAAGTACAGTAAGTTTCCAGCACATCCGGATCTCTTGCAGAGGCATCGCAATTATAAGTGCTCTAATATGGGCGACGCAAATCTAGAGCAAAACAAGTCAATTTGAGATTACGTCCAAGCATTGACTTCGCCTCTCGTACACCTTGGCTCGACATTTCCAAACGAACACAAAGTTATATAAAAGCGCAAAACCATTTTTTCTCGCCACATAGAAGCTTCGCCGACAGCGCGGTAGCCTTTTCAACCGAAAGAAAGAGCGAGAAAAAAGCGGACCACGCCCACCTCTGGAAATACCCGCTCTCCGTGCGCTTAGGACGGCCGGAGAGAAACCCGCCGCGCGCCCGCAATCTCGGAGGCCATGGAGAAACTATCGTGTTCTC